TAGGGTTTAGGGTTCAGGGCTCCAGAGGGGGGTCTGAACGATTCTGACATATTTCTGTCGTTTCGAGCTCCTATGGCCCCTGCATCATTGAATAGCCATATGTCATATACCTTAAGCCGTATGCTTATTCTTTGGCCGCTATATTCGGGTTTGGCGGGAGCTTGCTCGCAATTGAGAGTACGGTTACCTGTGGAACAGATGAGAACACGGTTAGTTGATATGAAGGATCCATCTATACTCTATGCAAGGTTAGTGCTTGATTCATGGTCGGGATTGAATCTTTTGCTACGAGAAACTTTGATGTGCCAGATGGTGGCGATGATTATGATTTCGTTTTTGTCCATGCTTGTTGATGATGATCCTCACCATGATGCTGACATGTGCTCTGCATTTAGGGCATGCCTGTGGCAGCAGCAACTTCATCGGCATTTGATAGGTAAGAGAGCGAGGTGTTTGCCCTTCAGTGCATATGGTTGTGCGTGTATTTATGCGGCCTTTGAATCGACATGAATCAGAAGCCAACTTAAAGCTCTGACTCAAACTAGGACCGAGACCCAGACGCTAGATTCAGGGAGTGAGGGTCTTTGGTTGCTGCCCAAATACCCAGCTTTGCAGTTCTTGGGTTTTCATAATGATCATAATGTCGTCTTGTTCTTTTCGTTGCGGTATGGGCATTGCCGGGAAAATAAGAGTAGATTTCGGGCTTGGGATTTCCAGTTTAGGAGTGTTCAGGGCACGAAGCCAGTGTTCAGCGCAAAGCCCAACAATTAGCCAGTATAGGGTCTGCTTGGCCATGTTTGCAAAAAGTGGAGTATACAGGTGTTGTCATATATGTGTACGTGTGAGTGTGTCTGTGTACATATATACATGCACACACTTCCGAAGTTTATAAAGCCGGCAGCCTTAGTTTTAGTCAAACCACTTAATCAGTAGCAGCATCGCCTGGGTGTATCTAATCTGTATCAATTAAAGAATAGACGTATAACCAAAACCACGCAGACGCTAGAATACAACACAGAGCCCCATTCCAACGCTCCTCGTCTGCGCCAGGAAGGTCTTATGGTGAGGACTCGGGTTCTTGAATCGGTCTGGAGAGCTGACGCTAAGTCCTCGACCCAGCTTTAAATCCTCGACGCGAACTGTTGAACCGCTACAGACGAAACCCACCCAAAAGCTGTGAAGCTATGAAGCCATACGCAGGCCAGTGAAACCCCATGAAGCACCCCATCCTAGGTAGTATTGGGGAGAGCCCTTACAGGGGACCCTTCTTAGCCCTACTTTTGGCTCTCTTAGAAGGGACCTTATTGAGAGGCTCTTTATCCTCAAGGGTCCCCTAATCCTAACTCCTACCCTCGAAACTTCCGCCCTAAACCCGTGCGACCCACACTCTCGCAGGCTGGAAGGCGAAAACCGCAAGCTTCGCGAGCTGTTGGGCGTCCCACCGGTCCGGATGCCCAAAGCTTCGATTCTCCAATATTTCAGATGGGGGGCGCGGTGCAAGCGCCCAGCACTTGTGACCCCTCATGGTAGGTTGATGCTTACAATCAGGGGAGTTTATGACTTTTAGTTATTTGGACCCTTAGTGGTTGAGGTTTTGCGTTTAGGGTTCAGGGTTCGGACGCTGGGTTCGTGGAATCATACGACGGCCTCTACCAAGGTCTTTGTTAAGGAATTGGTATTATTATCACAATCACTCACATGCCTACTATCTGCAGTGTCTAGACCCTACCAAATCTGAGAGAGAGAGAGAGAGAGAGAGAGAGAAAGAGAGAGAGAGTAACCGGTTTACCGGCTATTTTGGTTTGGGTAGCGGCGTGCTTTTGAAGCTGCATGAGATGCTGAGGGGTTATAGGCTAAGCCTTTTCTAAGTTGTTCGAACCCAAGCAATCCCTACGCAAGCTGTGCCAACATTTGCAAGTGTCATGTACCGCAAACTACACTGCAACCTAGCACGTCTTGTGCAACGGCCGGCAGCGCTGGCAGCAGAAGCTGGGTGCAAGCTGTTCGAGCGATCGCCGACGCTGAGGAGGAGGAGGCCGCTGGGCCCGAGCAGCGTGAGTCCCTCCTTGAAGCGCTTCCACGTGCTCTTGACGCAGATCGTGGGCTCAACGCTGAGGAGCCGCAAGCCGGTTCTCGCGCGCCGTGGAGTCGGAGGACCTCGTCACCTAGTCCACATGAATTCGTAGTTTGGCTTTGTCCTTTCCAAGCGTGAGGGCAAATCCCCGTCCGGGAAGATTCCTCGCAATAACGAGGAGTTTGTTCGCATTGGCACCCACAACAGCTGGGGGCGACTGGAGGATAGATAGGTAGATGAGCAGAGGGGGTAGATAGCTCGCCAGCTGGCTAGCTAGCTAAGCAGCTAGGTAGCTCGGTAGCGCGGTAGCTACGGTAGCTAAGGTAGGTAAGGTAGCTAGGGTAGCTAGGGTAGCTAGGGTAGCTAGCTAGGTAGGTAGGCAGAATCAGCCTGCATCTCTCTACCTAAGCACTGACAGTCGTGGACAACCTTCCTGCTTTGACCCACGGCTGATAACGAGGTCTGAACATCCGCTTAAACTTTAGATGTTTACTTTATAGCATAATGTACCTCCTTTGGAATATGGGCTTTAGGGTTTAGGGTTTACCCTAAAACCTAAATCCTAAACCGCTGTGTTGTCGGGTCCTCGAAGCTTCAGGGCCCTGGGCTGAGTCTTGAGCAGTTTCGTTTCTAATGTGGGTGCCTTAGTAATTACCTATTATACTTTTTTGGGGGTTCCTTATTATATTTGTAGTGTAAACTATCCGAAAACCCTATTCTGATGATTAAGGCCCCCGCATTAGGTTTAAGGTCTCGGGTGCTTTAGACTTCAGGGTTCGGGCCTGGAGCACCAGACTGAAGATCCCTAAGCGCTTG